AAGAAAAGATGACAGAGCGATAGGTGATCTTAATTAGCAAACAGCGAATTTGCGTGCAAGTGTTTCGCGTATTATGCTCGCCTGGCGGAAAACAGGTTGGACGGACTTCTTAAAGGCAACTTATAAAATCAAGTTTCTACAAGAGGGTGTCAGCGTTTCCTTGGCTGAACGTCGCGTTTCATTTTAAAGTTAGAGAAGCGAGCAACATAATGCGCTTTTAACGTTAAAACAGAAACTCTGATTATAAACTAAGTTCCAGCGGACGGTCTCCCGTATCAACGTTACCGTCAGTTGTGTAATTGTGATATCGGGGAGTCGTATGGCAAACTATGACCGCAATTCCGACCGGTTCTCGATGCTTTTGTACTGATTCCTAGTTATGTGACGCGAAATTCAACTCATTAGTGTTAACGAGGTTTCAATTCTAACCCTCGGGGTGTCCTTTAATGACGAGGAGGACAGGAGCTCTAATAAATTAACGCCAAAGTAACCTGAACTTCTTGATAAAGTCTTTCCTGAAGAAGGTAACGGGAATTGTTAAAAATAGACGTCCAGAGAAATTTCACGAACTCATACTTTTCGATCAGTTGCAGTATTAAAAAGTTACTCGAGATATTTGTTTTCTCTTCTAATTTACCAAATATTTTAATTAACTTTTAATCAATCATCAGGCTGTAAATTAATTTCTCTGAGAAATTTCTCGAAGTGAAAAGTTTCGATAGTTTTTCTCCGTCTTTCAGCTTTACCTGAAAGCTAGTTGCAGAAGTTAAACCGGAAATAGAATCGCGTGGATCGATAGGCGCGAATGTGAAGCAAAGATTTCCGCGGAATAATTTTAGGTAGACGTGGGGAATTAGTATCAATTCGAGGGAGAAATACGGAGAAGGAAGGATTCCTGTGTACTCTTCCACTTGCCTGTTACAAATTTTATCAACCAGCGGAGATTTCGTGCCGCTAACCGGAAGTTCAGCAGACTAAATTCCGCGAAGGGGGAACGAATTAACCAGCAACCGGGATTACACGAGCAATCACAAATCCGTCCTTGCAAAATTAACCTTAGAAGTTTCCAGCCAGGCGTTACCAGCTTTCCTCGAACAACCCCGGACGCAGTTAGAAAATTGACAGATCCTGTCGATCACTTTCCGAGAATGGACTTCGTCGACGAACCGCCTCTCGTTTTACGTTCTCACGAACAGATATTTCAGGAGAGCAATCGGTATAAATAAATCGACGGTTCGAAGAAGAAGTTTCATTCAGGGAACGTCGTATTTAGCTTTGTCGTTTGAGAAATGTGGAAAGAAATTAATGACAGTGGGCAACGGCCTGGAAATTCTCTAATAAGATACTCGAAGACATAATTGTCCTGGAAATCGTGCTAGGAATAAAACACATTTAATTTTGTCGATTGGTAAATTCGTTTCAACGAAGAATTTTGGATAAACGTGGAAGGAAAAGAATGGCGAAAGAAACTCATAGACCTAATTATCCTGGAAACCATAAGCTATTGCACATTGTGCTAGGAGTAAAATTAACAAACAGCGTTAAATTGAAATTTACTAAGTATCCGCTGAACGAATATTACTCTGCAGTGTTTTAATTAATCATCTTCTGCGGCGAAAGTTCTTATTTCCTAGCTCGAGTTCAATATTGAATACTCCGGGAAGAAATAAGCAAGAACGATGTCAATAATGCAAGAAATACGTCGATCAAATATTCGCAGAAGAAGTGGGAGGGAGGATCGATTTAAACAGTGGAGATTGCCATTGCATCTCGCGTTTCACTTATTTTAACTCGAGTTACTTCGTGGCAGCCTTATCTACTTGCTCGTGAAATTCTCGTTTATCCGTTTCTCCTGTACAGTAAATACTTTCAGATAAAAGCTCGCCCCGATAAACCTCGATTAGGTTCAAGCCTGGATGTTCTCAATACGGTTCCGCCAGTCCAGGCAATTAAGGATTGTAATTGGATCTCGTTAAAACGCCACGGAAAATTGAACATTTGCCCGGCATACTTTCCACGTGTTTTCAAAAACACCAAGTGTAGAAACACTGTTATCCCACGATTCTCTACCCAACCTTCCGATACTTCTTAATATTATCGCGTAGAGACGTTTATTTTCGTGCTCGTGCAAATCTGTGTGCGTTCAACGAATAACAACGAGAAAAAAAAAATACAAAGAGTTTCTATAATAAACATGTCGACTTATCGGAAATGCTCCGATCGTATCCTAAGTGGCGTAATCAAGAGCTTCTAGGTCCCGAGGGCACTTGCGCAGCACTCTGCTGGAGAGACACTGTGAGACAAGGTTGAAAACCTTAGCCGTGACGTCAAAGTGTTCAATTTTCATATTATCAGGTGCTTTGATAACCGGCGACAGAGTTTTTGCGAAAATAATCCATCGACAACACAGAGGCTTTGGAATTATATTTTGGAGACTTTGGTTCGATTGAGGAATCGAATAATTAATGAGGAATCGTCGCAAATAATTGTAACGTCAAAGTGCCCAATTTGAATATTATCAGAGTCTTCGATACCTGGAAAGTGAAGAAACTTCGGTATAACACATTCACGACTCTCGTTCAAAATTATGAATTAAAAAAATTATCGCGTATTTGAATAAAGGGGTTTCCAGGTAGCGTAAAATACCAAGGCGGTGTGGTTGAAGTGAGATTACGGTAATACTCGAGATGAGTATAATTAAACACGTGACAACGGAACATGGTGCTGCAACCACGGTTACGCGAATGTCCGGCGCTGACTTTTGTCGATAAACGCGTGTTGTTGGCTCCCAAATTTCTTTATTTTCAAACAGATTTTCAGGTAACAATAATATATATGCACAAATTCTTAACGGTTAATTATGCGCAAGTCCAATGTCCGAAGGTGCAACAGTTCCGTGTAATAGTTCGTACAAGGGTCCAGAGTGTTCTCGCAAGAGTGTTCAATAGTTCACAAGCGTTCGTTACCCCTATTTGTTACTGTCCAGTCATTTTATACACTGTCGTCTGTCCAGAGGTGTGTCTTAATGAAAATTGGGAAAACGATGGGAAAGGTGTTCTGTCTAGTGGAGGAGGTTAGAAAGGTTCGGGAGAGATCATGGTCCTGTAGCTCACGCCCTGCAGTGGGATCGGTACGTCAGGTGCAAGTAGCCGTCTGTCCAGAGGTGTGTCTTAATGAAAATTGGGAAAACGGTGGGAAAGGTGTTCTGTCTAGTGGAGGAGGTTAGAAAGGTTCGGGGGAGATCGTGGTCCTGTAGCTCACGCCCTGCAGTGAGATCGGTACGTCAGGTGCAAGTAGCGATACATCTGTAGGTCAAGGATAAGGTAAAAAAATTGGTGTGTTCAGGTCGTCCTATTGTTGTCCACGTTTTAGCCAGTCTTTGGTCCGAAGAATAATATTGCGACACGTGAATTTGCTATTGAGCAGAAAAGGCCAGGCACTTAAAAACCCATTAAGCGTCTGGCGGTTCTCCCCTGATTGTAAAATTAATAACATGCTACGAAACTAAATATTCTAATCCTGAAAAATAGCAAATGTGTCGGTCGTATTGTAAACTTGGGATAATTCGTTGTCCCCAACACGTGTCGACACAAAGTAAAACGTGGCTGATCGTGGCTGACAAACGTGACGTGGTCCTCGTCACAAAGCTCGGACCATTAGCGTAAATCCAGATTTAATAGGCTGAGGGAACAATAATGAGTACGCGCCGGACTGCCGTAACGTTCGGATATTCATCATTCGTGGATTCACGATAGCCTAGAAAATCCATTAGCAAATCGACAGTATTGGTTCGACGAACACGTTGAAAAAAAAAAATTCATCTCTTCGTTAAATGTATTTCGACGTTAATAGATACAATCTTTCGAAAGTTTTCGATGAGAGATTAATCATTATCGAAAGATAAATTCGAAAACTGATTAACCTAGATTCTGATCAGGATCATCGTCAAGTACGACTTGATATCGCTTCTCTTTTTTTTTTTTTTAAATAGAAACGACCTTTTCACGATTTTCACGTGGTATAAGCTCTCGGGTGCATCATCGTGGCAATTTCATGAGATCCCTCGTTTTAATAACCACAATCCACCGCATGAAATACACGCGTTTATTTTCACCCTTGCTTAACTTCCTGCACGTCGACGTTATGACTCTTTGACGTATCGTTCTCGCGCTGTTAATCGATATCCATTAAGATGAGAGTTCGTGGAACCGATGCGAGGCAGGAAACGCACCGACCTGAGAAAGAAAGGCCGACGTGGGGGCAGATTAAAGGTGCACCGACTTGCAATTTTTGCTCGATTTCCTATCTGGGGCACGGTCTTTGACATTTAAAGAAATAATCACGATGAACGTAACGGGACGGGAAGATGGTGGTACTTTTGTGCCCATCCACTTCCAACGATTTCCTATCCGTTTAATAATAGTGAATACTTCAATCCTTTATTCGCGAAACAATTAAGGTACGGTGCATCTTTGAGGAACTCCGAGGAACGTGAAATATTCCGACGGATAAAATATCGCCGATGGGAGATTCTGCAAATTCCGAGGAATGAAACGTTGGCAATGGGAAAATATAGAAATTCCGACGAATGAAATATTAGCAGTGGGAAATTTAAAAAATCCCGAAAAATGAAACATCAGCAATGGGAAATTCTAAAAATTCTGACGAACGAAATGTCAACAAAGGGAAATTCTAAAAATGGTAACAAATCAAATATCAACAATGGGAAATTTTTAAAATTCCGAAAAATGAAATATTAGCAGCGGGAAATTTAAAAACGAATTGCACATTAGAAAAGCTAAACTTCGCTAAATTTCCAAATAATTAGAAATAAGACAGATAAAACGAGGCTTAGAACACCCTCAAAATACCCAAATACGTCCAAATTGTTTAGCGAAAGCAAACGCGTCGACATTCAGTTACGCTAATTAAAAGGATCGGTGCAACAGTTCGAAAAGTGAGTAGCAGAAACTTATCGAAATCCTACTGTTCTATTTCAGTCGGCACTAAAAGCGTCGGGCGCTAAGCTGAGGAATGGAGGAAACGTGGCAGTGGGAGCAGCGAAAGCACTGCCATATCATTCTGCTCAACCCTTTGTCGTACGTAAAGGAGAACCCGGAACAGGCTGCAGGTGAGCCCTTCTATATCAGCAGATTTTTTGCTCGACCTAGCCTCCTCACGGATATCTCTCGGTTGAACTCACTCGAAGGAGAAAAGGACGATTCTCAAAAGAATCCCGTTTTAGCGGCAAGGACGATTATGCCTTTTTATATCTTCGGAACCCCTAACGTCGTGCCACGACTAACGTTCAGGGAACGTTTGAAAAGAGATCCTTTGGTACCTTTTGCTCCAACTATACAGAAACCAATACGAATATCCGGTGTGCTCGCCACGAGAGAAACCTCTTTTTCTGCCTCCAGGATATCTTTTACTCGATCGCGTGACCATTTGCCTCGCCTACACCTCCGTCCCATCAGACCAGAGATCATTTGGTTATTAGCGTCACTCGCGAACATCGCTCGGAGAAAATTCTACTCCGGTTTCCTTCTCTCTCTCTCTCTTTCGCGCGCGCGAAATTACCCGGATAATTGTGTCTCGCGGTGAAACCCACCAACGATTTCCGTTTCACGGGCTTTTAATCCAACACCACGTTGAGTAGAAACCTTTCTCTTCCTGCTTTTTTTCTGCGAGACTTTTTAATAGTTGATTATTCAGGAATATTTTTCAGCAATTTGCACGAATGTTTTTTCAGATTAATTCTCTTCTCTTTGCGATTTTTCTGGAAGAAAATTCAATTTCGAACGACAGCTGAGAATTGTAGACGAGAGGAAATTTTTATATTTGCGACGTACTGAGAAAATATTTGTCTCAAAGAATTACAAATTTCGGGCAGAACGTTGAAACAAAGTTCGAAACTCACGCTGAAATATTTCTTACGTGAATTCTTCACGCTCTAATCTTCCTTTGCGCCAATTCTGCACGAGCACCGAGTCAGAAAATACCTTCTCACTTGATAAAAATAGCATTTTCAAAAATTGCCCTGCAGTGTTAAAACAAAGAGGTGGAAAAGTTAAAGAAAACGAGGAAAATATGTTCTACGTTTCAATCTTTCCTATCTGAACCTACCTAACGCTATGAAAACCGCGTTAACCCTCTACCGTCGAGGCGGAGTCTCTCATTTTTTCCGTTTCCTTCCATTCTATTTAGAAGTCGACATTACTACATTAAAATGAAATTAATTCTAACACTCTGTTCTATAACGTTCATTAGGAAAATGTGTAACAAAGGTAAAATCGATGAGGAAAGTTGTCAGAAATGTTCTATATTTATAAACTAACCGGAAGTTGAGGACCTTCGTAGACTCCGTTATCTCGACGGTAGAGTGTTAAGTCGTTGGAGGAACCGCAATGACAACAGAGACGCGTTTTTCAGATGAACGAAAGCGGCTACAAGGTAGTCTCTGCAAGGAAGAAGACACCCTGAAGAAGAGGAGTCGCGTGCCGGGTCTGTAGCGTTCGGTAAAGAGAGGAAGGGCCCCCCGAGTATCATCAGATAGGAGAAGGGGTCGTCATGGGCCCGGCACACCAAACCGTAGCCCACTGAGCGATGCAAGTAGTTAGGGCCGGGGCCCTGCTAGTGAGCATGTGGCTCACTAGAGAATGAAGAAGCAAAACGTCCGGACCATAACGTTGATCATCACCACGTTTACCTACCTCCTCGTCGGCGCTGCAATCTTCGACTACCTCGAGTCCGAGACAGAGAAACGACGCAAAGTAGCATTGGACGGTACGTTTCTTATCGGTAAATCGAAACATTCCAAATAGCACAACGTTTCGAGTATCGAAAAGTGACATTTTCAGCAGAAATGAAAAATCAGACAGATCTGTTTTGTAATACTTAACTATCGTGCGATTACTTTTTCAGCGAAATGGTACCTACATGAACGTATAAAATGCAGAAAGGAGTATTTTGAAAATTTATCGGTATAAAATCGTTATTTTCGAAATTTCTTTTTTTCTATTTATGAAGTGTTAGGTGATTGTTCTAATATCAGCGGTACTTGAAACGTTGTGCTGCTGTTACACCCGAGTTTTTAGAATGTTCGACGGTAAATTTTTGGAAAATTTGACACTAAATTCTTGAAAATTTCCCACTTGCCACATTGTGACATGGAGTTGCTCAGAAAACACGTAGACCAACGAAAGGAACGACGAGATTTTGAAAAATGTCTGTTATCTTTGGAAAATTTCAAGCTGCCGTTCTCTATTGTCGAAGCTTTAACAACCTCGACGGATGGAGAAAGGAATAGAAAAAGCTGCAGTGGCTGGATAATAACGATGTCAGTGATTTCATAATAGGGTGAAACGAGATGGTTTCGTTGTTCTATATATTTTTTAAGTAAACAAGGCAGTCCGTATTCTGAAAGATCGCACACGATTCCGCTTGAAATGTTAATTTTTTACAGTTTTCGATAGTTCCACCGATAAAATGAATGATGCAAAGGCACGATCCCGGAAGTGCATGTGTTACACCACGTCGAGCTTCAATTTCATTGTTTACAATTTTTAATTCAC